TATCTGTGCTGTCCCCAGTGACCCCAATGATGTCCCCAATGTCCCCAACGCTGTCCCCAGTGATCCCAATGGTGCCCCCAATGTCCCCAATGATCTCAATGGTGTCCCCAATGTCCCCAATGTCCCCAACGCTGTCCCCACTGTCCCCAGGAGCAGACCACGTTCATCTGCGCGTGCATCGCCGAGTTCCTGTCCCTTTGTCCCTGTGTCCCCACTATCTGTGCTGTCCCCAATGATGTCCCCAATGTCCCCAATGTGTCCCCAGGAGCAGACCACGTTCACGTGCATGTGCATCGCCAAGTTCCTGTCCTTGTGTGTCTGTGTCCCCGCTATCTGTGCTGTCCCCAATGACCCTGGTGATGTCCCCAATGACCTCAGTGATGTCCCCAATGTCCCCAATGATGTCCCCAATGTCCCCAACACTGTCCCCAATGTCCCCAGGAGCAGACCACGTTCATCTGCGTGTGCATCGCTGAGTTCCTGTCCCTGTGTCCCCGCTATCTGTGCTGTCCCCAATGTCCCCAGCGCTGTCCCCAATGTCCCCAGGAGCAGACCACGTTCATCTGCGTTTGCATCACCAAGTTCCTGTCCCTTTGTCCCTGTGTCCCCAATATCTGTGCTGTCCCCAATGCTGTCCCCAACACTGTCCCCAATGTCCCCCAGGAGCAGACCACGTTCATCTGCGTGTGCATCGCCGAGTTCCTGTCCCTGTGTCAGTGCTATCCCTGCTGTCCCCAGTGATCCCAATGATGTCCCCAATGATCTCAATGGTGTCCCCAATGTCCCCAACACTGTCCCCAATGTCCCCATGTCCCCCCAGGAGCAGACCACGTTCATCTGCGTGTGCATTGCCGAGTTCCTGTCCCTGTGTCAATGCTATCCCTGCTGTCCCCAATGACCCCAATGATGTCCCCAATGTCCCCAATGATCTCAATGGTGTCCCCAATGTCCCCAATGCTGTCCCCAATGTCCCCAGGAGCAGACCACGTTCATCTGCGTGTGCATCGCCGAGTTCCTGTCCCTGTGTCCCTGTGTCCCTGCTATCTGTGCTGTCCCCAATGTCCCCAACGTTGTCCCCAATGTCCCGAACACTGTCCCCAATGACCCCAATGATGTCCCCAATGTCCCCCCAGGAGCAGACCACGTTCATCTGCGTGTGCATCGCCGAGTTCCTGTCCCTGTGTCCCTGTGTCCCTCCTATCCCTGCTGTCCCCAGTGACCCCAATGATGTCCCCAATGTCCCCAATGATCCCAGTGATGTCCCCAATGATCCCAATGATGTCCCCATTGTCCCCAGGAGCAGACCACGTTCATCTGCGTGTGCATCACCAAGTTCCTGTCCCTGTGTCCCCGCTATCTGTACTGTCCCCAATGTCCCTGGTGATGTCCCCAATGTCCCCAACACTGTCCCCAATGTCCCCAGGAGCAGACCACGTTCATCTGCGTGTGCATCGCCGAGTTCCTGTCCCCATGTCAATGCTATCCCTGCTGTCCCCAATGATTTCAATGATGTCCCCAATGACCCCAGTGATGTCCCCACTGTCCCCAACGCTGTCCCCAATGTCCCCAGGAGCAGACCACGTTCATCTGTGTGTGCATCGCCGAGTTCCTGTCCCTGTGTTCCTGTGTCACTGCTATCCCTGCTGTCCCCAGTGATCTCAATGATGTCCCCAATGTCCCCAACACTGTCCCCAATGTCCCCAGGAGCAGACCACGTTCATCTGCGTGTGCATCGCCGAGTTCCTGTCCCTGTGTCAATGCTATCTGTGCTGTCCCCAATGACCTCAGTAATGTCCCCAATGTCCCCAACGTCCCCCCAGGAGCAGACCACGTTCATCTGCGTGTGCATCGCCGAGTTCCTGTCGCTGTACGAGACGGAGCGGCTGATCCAGGAGCTGGCCAAGTGCCGCATCGACACGCACAACATCGTGGTGAACCAGCTCGTGTTCCCCGACCCGCTGCGGCCCTGCCGCATGTGCGAGGCGCGCCACAAGATCCAGGCCAAGTACCTGGACCAGGTGAGCGCACCTGGGGGGGCTGGAAGGAGGTTTAAAGGGTTAAAAAGGGGTTAAAA